AACTTTCTCAATGCAATTCATTTTTTATTTTTCTGGCCCCAGATATTCCAGGAGACTGGGCTCTATGAGGAGAAATGTGATATCAGGATTGAAGGAAGACTCATCAACAATCTGCATTATGCAGATGATACAACCCTGCTTGCTGAAACTGAGGAGGACTTGAAGCGCTTGCTGCAGAAGGTCAAGGACTTTAGCCTTCAATATCGATTGAAGCTCAACATCAAGAAAACAAAGATTTGCACCACTGGGCTGATTGGCAGCATCATGAGAGATGGTGAAGAGATTGAGACTGTTAACAACTTTAGTTTGCTGATCTCCACAGTCAACATTCTTGGTACCAGCAGCCAGGAAATGAAAAGAAAAATTGCTTTCAGAAACCTTTCCAGAGTGCTGAAGAGCAACGATGTCACTCTGGAGACTAAGTTGCACCTGATGTAGGCCATAGTCTTTGCAATTACTTGCTATGCGTCAGAAAGCTGGACAATGACTTGGGATGATAGAAGGAGAATTGATGCCTTTCATCTGTGGTGCTGGAGAAGAGTATTGAATATACCATGGACTGCTAGGAGAACAAACAAGTTTGCTCTAGAAAAGGTGAGAACAGACTGCTCCTTAAAGGCTAGTATTCTGAAGCTTCATCTGACACACTTCGGACATGTTACAAGGAGGAATCAAGCCTTAGAGAGGGATGTCATGCTTGGGAGGGTGGAAGGAGAGCACAGGAGAGGAAGACCCTGTATGAGATGAATTGATTCAGTGACTGGGATAATGGGGTAGATGTAAGAGATTGGCACAGGACAGAGCAGGATTAGGGCTATTGTAATAGGGTCACTATGAGTCATAGGTGACTCAATGGCACACAACAACAACAAAGGAAAAGGGGATAAAAAAAATCAATCTTCCTAAAAGTGCTTATAGGATGTTGTTGTTGCTGTTATGTGCAGTCGAGTCTTTTGCCTGACATCGTTACTCTTCAGTACTCTGGAGAGGTCTCCAACAGCTGACTTTCCCAATGCAATTCATCTCTTGATTTCCTGGCTGCTGGTACAGCAGAGTGTTGACTGTGGCGCCAAATAAACTAAAACTGTTATCTCAATCTCTTCACAATCTGTTATGATGTTGCCATCCAGTGGTGAGGATCTTTGGGGTTTTTTTTGGTTTTTTTTTTGGTCTAGAGACTTTATTATGCAGGGGGTGGGGTGTGTGTTGGTTAGAACCAGCTCTGATTCTGTGTTTTCAGATGGGCCTGCTGCCCCAAGGCCAGGCCAAGAAGCTGTGCCTGGGATGTTGGCTTCTGGTGGGCTGCAGGGCTTCCCCATCACCCTTGCCAGGTGGCCTGGGCTCCTGGCATGCTT